ACAACACGTATCAACCAATTTGATCTAATCAACTTCTATAGACCACTCTACCCAACAATATGTATTTGGAAGGTCTTCAAGTTCACTGATGTTTTATTTGCAGGATTTTAATCTGATATTAAGTCCATCTGAATTTTTTGTTTCAGATCATTTGTTTTGTATCTCTAAAAGTTTCATCTGCTTTTTATTTCCATTTAACTCATGATGCTTATATTTTCCTTTAAGTCCTTAAGCAAGTTTTGAAAGCTATTGAAAACTCATTGTAGGCTAATTCTATCATCTTTTTATTTCTGGGTCTGTTTGTATTAATTGATTTTTTTTCCTCCTAGTTATAGGTCACAGTTTGCTACATTTTTGTCTTACTATTAATTTAGGAATAGATGCTGGACAATATGAATGCTATGCTGTTGAGTTTGAATTTTGCTCAGAAATTACTGCCAGTCATAAAGCTGCAGTAATTGTCTAGATAACCTCATTTGTTTCCTTTTGCCAAGAGACCATAATCATACATTGTTGCATCAAACTGTCTAAAAATAATTTTCCACATATTTTGTTCAGTTTTCTAATTTTTCACAGTGGCAGGCCAAGTTTTTTGTATTCATTATATCTTCGTGACCACTTAATTTATATGTTTAATTTTGTTTCTAAAATAAAATTTTTGTCTCAGAACATTTTTTCCTATTTATTTACTGTTTATTTATAAGTAATACATGAATACCCAGTGCTTAATATAAAATTTTAAACCATACAGAAAAATACAGAGAAAAACTTTAAGATACCATTTCAGCCTTCCTTATCCTCTAATTCTCAGAATCTAAACACTGTAAACAGTTTGTTATCTATGATTTCAGATAGTGTGTCTCTCTGCATATATACATAAAAATTTCACACTAAATGTATTACATATGTTCTATGACCTGTTTTTTAACCTTAATTTGTCTCACAGGTTTTTTTTGTCATTACATATAAAATTTTTCACTTTTAAACTGCTACTTAATATTCCATCATGTATATATGCCTTAATTTATTTAACTAGATTAGTTACAAATACATACAAGGTATTTTCAGGGTTATTTTTTCCTATTAGAAATAATGCTTTAATGAACACCTTTATACATAACCCTATACATAAAATACTTTTGTGCACAAATTGTGTACACAAGAGATTTCTACAAGGTCAACAGATAAAGTGACATGCATTTGAGGCTATTATAAATTGAATTGTTTTTGTAGTTTTAAATTACAATTGCTTGTTGCTATTATATAAAAAGACAATTGATTTTTGTGTTTTGGGTATTGTGTCCTACAGCCTTTCTAAATTCATTTATTTCTAGGTCATTTTTGTAGGTAGCTTAGTTTTCTATGCACACAATCATGTCGTCAGTGTATAAAGTCAATTTTGCTTCTTCCTTTGCAATTTTTACAACTTTAATTTGTCTTGCAACATTTAAAATGAGTAAAGAAAGTATGGAATGTTCAATTAAGGGTTTGAGACAATTTCTATACTAAGAGTTAAGCCCCTCTCTCACATGATACATGCACATAAACTCAATTGCACAGTGAAGAAAAATGTAATAAAACTTTTTAAAAATATTGTTAGTAAATAAAGAAAACTTTCTTATAACCATGGGTTGAGAAAGATCATTCCAAGAGAGGTAAAATCCCCAAAGTCAAAAAAATAGATTGACAACTTTGGCTCCATAAAACTATAAAAACTGAAAGATACTATGGCAAGCAGTACTATAAACTTTAAACATGTAGCACTGTCTTTGGGACTGGGTAATGGGAGAGACTGTGGGGAGTTCTAAGGTTACTGAAGAGACCGGCCTCTAAAATAATTGCTATTATCACATAGGCTGGAAGAGTGGGGAGGAAATTGATATTGCAAGCTGGATAAAGAATGACCTGCATTACGTATTAGCGGGACAATTAGCAAGACTTCAGAAGGTGCAAAATGTATTAATGAAATTTTGAACTTGCACAAGGAGATATTTAGGAAGCAAACTGCAAGTGCCTACTAGATTCCTTTAACTGCATAGAATTAGAGGTATCCCATAAATCTCAGTAACAGTGTTCGACTAGATTTAACTACAAATACTACACGTATAATTGTTCATTATTGTTTCTATTATTTCTCTTCCTCCTCTTCCCCTATCTTTAGATCTTTGTTCTAATTTAATTCTCATTTGATTTCAGAGAGTGCCTTCTTGAATACATTTCCTCAGATAGAGTATATGGATGACGTAACTCTGAGTCTTTATATATCTGAAAATGTCTTTTATCAAAAAAAAAAATGAGTAAGATCTTTGCTGGGTTTAGGTTTTTTAGATATTGCCTTGAATAATCAGTAATTATTGTCCTTTTCTCTTCTAGGTCCCTGTGTCGCACATGAGCCATTCAATGCTTCTCTCTTCCTTGGCAAGTAACTTTATCTTTTCTGTCTTAGATTAGGAGCTTGTAAAATTTTTTTCTGCATCCTTGAAATTTTGCCAGATAATATCTAAGAAGTTGTCTTAAAATAATCCTGTCTGGTGCTCAGAGTCCTTTCCATTCAAAGCCATACTCTTTCTTCAGTTTAGGAATGTTTTCTTTGGTTATTTCTTTATTATTAATTTATCTTTTTCTCACTCCCACTCCCTAATTCTGCAGTGACTGCCATTCACATACTAAATCCCCTGGATTTGTCCTCCATGTTGCTTTCCTAAAGCATTTACATTTCAGTAGTGACTATTTTTAAATTCATTTATTATATTTTTAACTGAAAATATTTTTTAAAAATTGGTTACAGTAACTTTTTCATTTAATTTTATTTCTGTAAAAGTTCTCATTACATTTTTAATAAAGTTTACACCTGTGTAGACCATTAATTCTAACTCTACAGTAGCCATCTGTTCTGGTTTCTTGGCTTAATATTCTTCCATCAAACTAACATTACTTTGAATGGCTTGTGAATTTTTCTCTGTATAAATCTCATTTTCCTTCCCTCATGCAAAGAGGGAATAAATATATAATTTGTAAGAATGTTTAAGAATTAAATGATAGACCCATATGTAGTTCTTTTTCTACAGTCTTCCCCAGCCTTTTTTTTTTTTTTGCAAAATGGGGCCTCACAGGAATTCTTGTGAGAAATATAGATTCTCTCACCGTGAGACCCATTGAATCAGAATCTATATCCTAACAACATTCTTAAGTGATTCTAATGTACATTACAGTTTACAAAGAGCTGATCTAGCCAGTAACACATGGGAAATGACAATAATTTCTTAAAGAAACCACCTGTTTACTTTTTTCATATATTAATATTTTATATGGTTTTTGTCCCCAAAGTTATCAATACCCTGTTGTTGTTTTAATTAGGCAAACTTTGGAATTTTGATTCCTTCATGATCTTTAGAGACTTTATATTGAAAATAATAATAATAATAATAATAACAATGAATGAAATGTAAGGAATGCCAGCCTATTCTCATCACAGACTTTTCATAGCTCTAGTCTCTTCTCCAAGTAACCTCCAATTTGGGGAAAATGTACCCATGCCCAAAGCCAGGAGATGGGGACAAAAGTTGACACTGAAATCTACAGGAAAAAAAAATCATGTCTATTTGCATTTCTACCGCACTTCACCAGCCTTTTTCTAGAACAGCGTTCTTGAGCTCTAAAAATAGAGATTAATACCTTAACTTGCAACACTGTGATAACCAAATGAAGTATTATATGAAAAAGTTCCTAGTATAATTCCCAGCATATAATCAGTGCTCAAGAAATGTTGGTTGTTTCACTTCCTGTTCATCCTTACTCTACCGTAATTCCTTTTTAAATGCCTATATTCCACATTTGGCTGTGAACATCAGGAGGGATGCAGCTTACTTCTTCATATAGGCATATCATGAACATAGGACACATCCTCTAAACGAATGCTCACTAAGTGGGTAAGGTATTTATCTATAATTATAGTAATATAGAGATAATAATTTCTATCTTTAGGAATTTTTAGTAGTTTCCTTAAACCAGGACTAATGATTGATTCAAAGACTCATCTGTGGAATTATTAGACAAAGAATTACTGTGCATCTATCATGAATGAGGAACTATGATAGACGCTAGAGACCTAAACGATAAGCAAAAAACAGGCACTCCCCATTTCAGAGGCACGATAGAGATCTCCAAACAGACTGTAAAATTGAATTTTGATTAAGTACTGTAAGAGATACGCAGTGCTCTAAGAATGTGGTAGGGGAGATAAATGTTAGACTAAGTACAGCTCAGCAAAATCCTGTCTTATCGACATATTTTCCCTTGGTCAGCCATCTCACTACCGTCTACCATTATCTAATTGACTCTTACTGTTTCTCTTAAATTGGAAAATCCCCTGAGGCATCGCTTCCAGAACGCCATGGTCAAAACAAAACTCTTCCCCGAGGGAGAAGTTTGGGTGTAGACAGATGGATAAGGCTACTAGTATCTTCCTTATTCCACTTCTATTAGTTAACATATTGATACTGATTATCTCATCAGAATAGTTTAGATACTGTCCCTTTGGGAAGACAAATGAGTCGTCAGAACAGTTGAGTCAGTATTTGTGAAATAATGGAGGCTCAAATCCCCAGGGAGATGGGACACCCACGAAGCGCACCCAGCTAAGGAGCCTGGGTGATCCGTCAGGCTATTCAAACTTCAACAAGGAGGACACTGGTTTCATCAAACTGTGGGGTGATGATGTCAAAGAAAAACACTTTATTCTACAACTGTATCTATAGTGGGCTGTTTCTTAAATCCTCTCAAACTGGTAACTATGTCTCGGCCCCTCTCCCATCTCTAATCCCCCAGTATGGTAACACTACTTTTTTTAAACTTGTGAGTAAGTTTCAGGCCGACACACGAAGGGGGAAAGTGGGTGGTATTCACTGATTCAGGAACTTTGTTAACAGGAAACTACTGCTGAGGAACACCTGGCTGGGGTGAAGACAGCCCTCCGCGCTGTTCCCCCGTTGACGCCTTACCTGTTCCTGAAGTAGTACTGCTGCGCTACGAACTTCGACCGAGCTTGCAGCCGAACTAACGTGGCCATAGCCTCCCGGCGTCTGCCGGAGCGTGGGTGTTACTATCGGTCTCCCCGGCAACCGGGCTAAACCATAATGCCGGTCCCGGGGGTTCAACTTCTCGTATACTCCATTTTTATTTCCCACCCCGTTTCAGTTTGCAGAATACTAGCAGGAAAATTAAGGAATTTACGCAGGAAAAAGTTCCTGGGATTTGCCTCTCTCTTTTCTGTGAGTAGAAGGAGGAGATTCCAGGCGAGGAAGGCCGTGGGGGGAGAAGAGGGAGTGGTTGCTCCCGACATCCGGTTTCTGCCTCCCGTCTGCTTCCGGAAGCTCTGCTCAAAATGCTGAACTGCTTCTGGAAGTCGCTGGTACTGTGGTAGTTGGAGTCTGTTCTCGGGCCGGAGCCTCGAGGTCAGGCTCCTGGGTGTCGTTAATGTTCGGGGCCGCCGGGCGCCAACCGATCGGAGCTCCAGCCGCCGGGAACAGCTGGTGAGGCTGGCGGCCCTGGGGATGGGAGATCAGGAAAGGGTGTGATGGCCGGAGGCCGCTGGACCTGGAATGGAGGGGGAGGGAGTTGTGATGGATGATCTGAAGACACTTAGGCCTTGCTCTCACTCGTGCCTGGGGTGGAAGCGATTTGAGGAAGGCGTGGAGGTGTGTGCTAAAGATTTGTGAAGGAATACAGTAGATGCTTTCTGATTGCCTAACACTCTACGATATTGTGGGAGTAAAGGTCTCTCTCTAGTTTGAGAGCAGTTCATTTCGTTGATTGTTGACTAGGCTAGGGACAAAAGAATTTCTCTTAATATAGGCCTTATTCCCTCACTTCCCTTTTTTAATTTACTAGATTATACCACGTGTCTTGGAAGATCAAATCCCAGAATTCTAGAGTTCTGGAAGTTTAGTACTGGAAGAGGCCTCCTCAACCCCCCCCCCCCCCCCCCTTTTTTTTTTTTTTGGAAGTGGGCGTGACCTACCTGTTTTCTACTCCTTCAAAGTTCCATTCTAGTTCAAATGAGGTGTGTATGAGTGTTCCCTAAGAACATATAAATGCCAGGATTTATTTGGGGTTTGACTATGTCTGCAGTACCCCATCACCAGTGCCACTTTGGAATAATTGCTTTGACTTTTCAAAGTGCTTTCACAAATTAATGTGTTTTATCTTTATGACAGTGCTGTAACAGGAGATTATCACGAGCACAAGTGAGTTGGCCAAAATTGCCATGCACATTCTGGGGCTAGAAGCTGGGTTTTGGATTTCTATTTGAAAATGTGATGCCAGGCCTATTTTTCCCCAAGACCTTTTCCTCCAGGCATACACAGGACAAGCAGTGAAACAAGCACATTTCCCACTGACAGTGTCAAACAAGAAGCATTGAAAAACGGGTGAACTATGGCTGAAAAAATATATGTCCATTCTTAGATTCTGCAGTGAATGAGACCTTGAGGGATTTTAGTAGTCTGATCTCACAAAGACGTTCTTTGCATCACCTGTCACTAAAAGTGAAAAGAATATCTTGCCTAAACTGTTTTGAATGAGATTAGATTATTCTGTAGAACCTTTTATAATGGGGATAGATTTGGTGATACTTTTAAAATCTCACATTTTCCAGTGAGAAAGCAGGAAGTACTTTTTTAAATGAGCCATATTTTTTTAATGGTGTCCTATGGCATTAGCATAAAATAAAACCCTTCTTACATGTTTAGAATTTTTAGTTTTGACAGTTGTATATACTGTGTAATCACCACGCAAAACAAGATATAGGACACTTCCATTACCCCTGAATTCCCTCTTCAGTAATCTAGTAGGTACCTTTCTTAATGTTTCGCCATTCAATCAATACCTTGTTAAGGGAGCGAGACAAAATGTGCTATATAGATTGGTCTGCTCTTGCTGTAGTGATACTGATGTGTAGGATAGATGGCTATTTAATTAAAAAGTATGACTTCCTCTCTTTCACCTTCTACCCAAATTATAGTTAGGTAACTTCTTATGATACAGAGAAACCGTTCTTCAATTCTCTTAAAGTGCTTATCTTATTTTCAATTATCAGCATAGAATTTATTCTTTCTTACGGCATCAGAGTATAACATAGTGCCTAGCGCTTAATCAGTGCTTCTGAATGAAATTCTTTACCTTCATTGATCAGACATTTACCATACTATGAGTGTATGTTTTATCCCAGTTATGAAATCTCAGTGCCACCAGGGATGCTACTACTGAGTCATTACTTAGTGCCAGGTTTTATGGACATAAATCTCCTGTAAACCTTTTGAGATGGGTGCTATCGTTTTTTTGCATTTTAGAAATGGTGAAACAGGAACAAATATAGTTTAAATAACTAGCCCAAATACCATATTTGCAGCGTGATTCTGGTATATCTAAAAACAATTCTTAACCATCCTGGTATACGTCCTATTTGTCTGACTACGGTACACTATTTCAGGAATATCTAAATTGGAAAGAATATGCCGATTTTTTTAACTCACCTAGAATTCCTGTTACATTGATGTCCCATCTTGACTTCAACTTTTTCTCCAATGTCGAGGTTAGATTTTCAGTTTTTAGGCACCAAATGGGTAAATAATAGATGATTTATCTCTCTTTAACAATTTGTTGAAAGTAGAACTGATACTTTATTTTGTAATTTACTCCTACAGAAGACAAGTTTTATACAATTAAATAACAAAAATCCTATGATTTTTGTGTATGTCAGGAAATGAATATATTTTTTGTGCAAGTTGTTCCTGTAAGTGGTTTATATTATATTTTTACAAAACATAGCTGATAGTGTCTGTCTCCTTTTCCTGCCTCATCATTCACATACAATTTTGAAATTAAGGGCCAAAAAGCATAAGTATTTTGGTAAATTGTAAACCTGCCTTTTAAAACTTGATTAATTTAATGGATAGATCATATTTATAATTTAGATACACTTTTATTACTTTTTACTTTATTAGTGACTTATATTTAAAGTCAATTTCTGGTTTGTTTTTAAGATTCTAAAGGTTGAACTAAATAAATTTTACAATTAAGTCCTTGATGAAAGTACTGAATTATCATTGATAATATGAACTAAACTATTTATTTAAATTCATGTGGTTTGTTTTTAAAAAGAAAAAAACCTTAAGAATAAACTATATTAATTCTGGATCTTTTTTCTTTTTTCTGTAGTTTCATTCCTATTTAGTTACTATTTGGATCTTTAGGTCTGAAAAACTGCATGGTGGTTAATGTGCATTTTTTTAAATAAATGCCTTTTTTCTTTTTTTTTTTTTTGTCATTTTATCTTGAGGTGAATGCAATACTATCAGGTATGTTTGAGTCAGGTTTCTGTTTCAACAATGAGGAATCAAAGCAATGGCCAGTGTGATTTTGGCCAAGGAACTCATTAATATTAGTATAGCTTCTTAGCATTTTTATGAATGTCAAGCTGGAAACTTTTAAACCATCTTTGATGATTTATCCTTTACCACCACATTTACTTAGCTAAAAGATTAAGAGTGCCTGGCTTGTTAATGTGCCAGAAAATTTGAAATCTGGATTGTCTAAATTTTTAGTGAAGTCATACTTTCCTGTTATTCATTCATTCATTTAATCATTCATTGGTCTGTTCATCCAACAGATCTTTTTTTAACATCTGTTCTGTGTCAAGCATTATGCTAGATACTTGTAATAAATATTAAGTTGTCTTCATTCTTATTCTAGAAATTCAGACTATATTATATATTCAATAAATATTGAATAGTTACCATGTATGAGCAATGAATGAGACTCATCTGATACATATTAGAAACTTGCCTAGATGTGCTCTAATATATGCATGTTGACAAGAATTGGAATGAATTATTTTTTAGACGCTAAATTATTTTTGTTTGTTTTAGACTTCGTCTTTATTTCATTTAGGCACCTTCTTATTCAGTAGTTTACATTTCGAAAGTGATTAAAGAAGTTTTGAATGACTCTTGAAGTCGTTAAGTTGAAATCAGAAGAATGTTTCTCAAATTTAAAAAATAAATGAGCTTGCCTTATTAAATCACTATTTGGAAAGTAGAATTAATACTTTTTTCTAAAGCTATGTGTGATTTTTTTTTCCCCCAGATTGCTAGTTAAGGAGGAAAGAAAGCTTTCTGGGTGTTCCTGTGGTAACAAAATAGCAGTTGCCATTAGCACCTCCAGTTGAGTGCAAGTTAGGGGAACTTTGGGGCCCATTATAGGAAATGAGCTTTTCTCTTTGGTAGAGAACCTGAGACTGTTAACTTGGAAGGATGATTTTCTATAATTTATTTTTTTTTTATATTTGTATATCTGTATAGGACTAACTCAGATACACAGCATTAATTTTTTGTTTTTTAGTTGTTTTTTTTAAGATCCTTGAAAATCTTTAAGGAGTGCACAAATTTCTTGAAGTTGCATGCAAGATTTTTGCAAATGTCTGTTATTCCCCTTCTCCCCATGATTCAGAGTGGTTCAAGAACACAGAAAGGATAAGGTCTGCGCTTTTATTATTATGGCCTCAGGACTCATAGTGTGGTTCTACCTTAAAAGCAAAATGATTTGGTATTTCAGTGACCACTTTATTTGGTATAGAGGTTGTTGAAAGATGAAATAACTGCTCTCACACATAAGTGTCCACAGAATCCCTTCAAGGTAGAAATTACAGCATTTTTATGACGAATCAACAAAATCAGAAGATAAGTAATTTGTTCAAGGTTCTCTGGCTAATAGTCAAATTTAGCTTCCAGATTCATAGATTTGACTTAAAAGCTTGTGTTCTCTACAGGTTCGTCCCAGCCTTTTCCCCCACCTAGAGAATTCTGTTCCATATGCATTGGCTAGTGTTAATGTAAAGTTATAATTATTTACATGTTTCATAATAAGATATGTTCCCCTACCTCCCTGCTACCTCTTTCAAAAAGAGAAAAAGTTAATTCTGATTAATGGTTTAATAGGTAGTTCAAGGAATTTCTAAACTAGCTTACATGTTAACATTTAATGTTAGGGTTATTTTGTTTTTCCTAAGATGACCTTCCCCAAGATATATAAAAGGATTTAATTCTGTTAATCATTCAATAGGTTACTAGGCCGAGATAAAGATTTACTTTGACAAATATATTACCACTAAAAAAGGAAATTTATAAATTGTCATGAGCAGCAGAAATTTTAATCAAACTTAAAATAATTCTCACAGGTAATATTTTGTTGAATTAGTCATGAAATTTAGCCCTTGCTGTGGCGTCTTTAAGGCTCACTGTTTGCCTGTTTAGTCACCCATTGTCTTGATCTGTACTATTATGTGTTAATTTTAATTTGTACTTTTATGACCAAAGAACCTTTCCTTTCTTAAGTAAAAGGTAACATGAATATCGAGACATGTAATTCTGAGACTATTTTCTTAAGCTTGTGATCAGTCATAGCATACATTCATCAGCATAGCTCTTGACTATGTACTCCTCCTACATTGTTTTTGTACACATTGAGTTTTTAATCATATAGAAACTAACACGTAAATGACTGTTTCCTTAAATTTTTAAAAGCCAGTTAAGCAATGGTATTTAGCAACATTTAACTTCGTTTTAGCACTCCACTGCTAGAGTTACTTAACTTTGTAGAAGAAATAATTTGTGTTTTACAGAGATGAAGATGAGAATTTTACCATGTACTAGGTGATAAGGAATATTTGATTTCTTTTTCCTTATCTAGATATTTGACAGCTGTAGTCAATTACCTTTTTTGTTATATCTGAAAGATTTTTGTTTGTTTGTAATGAACTTGTTGGGTTTCTTCAGTAGACACACATATCTGTCGTCCAATTGTGTAATTATTTTATCAGTGTCCAGGCAAGGAAATTGTTCCTTAATTTTTCTGTAGATGCTATATTTTATCCTCTTAGGAATAGTAGTTATTGCTAAGAGAGTCTTCAAAAAGTAATAGTTGTTGATACAGTAGTTAGCTGTTAGTTATTGGGGGGGATCAGTTTTGGCTTTCTTGGGCTTCATCTCCTACCATGCCTGCTTATACATTGTTGACTGCTATTTGAGAGTCCTTGATTTATCAGTCAACTGCCAGTCCTTTGTGAACATATGAACAGTAAGTTTGGACTAAGCCAGCTTCCTGAGTCTTCTTTCTTGAACCAGAAACATTATGTAATGTACTACCGCCTACACAAAACCAAAATGCCTGTCTACTCAGGTCATTTCCTTTTACAAAATCCAACTTTATATAGATAATGGGACTATAATTCTATTCATTTTGAGTATTTTAAGAAAGCTATTAGTTAACTTATCTTAGATATTTTACCCAATGCAAACTATTCTCAAAAGATATCATTTCCATTGAATTCCAAATGAAGAGAAATTGTTTTATAAATATGACTGTTATTCAAATTAACTAAGTGGTAATTCACTTAATTTTACTATAATTTAAACTTTATAACTATGCATGCTTAATAAACACAGGTTTTTATACAAGAAAGTTATATTTCCAGGTTTCCTCTTAAATAGGAAAGACCTTATTTAAGAAAAGATCTTGAAGATAAAGTGTTTCCATACAATGATTTTCAGTGTTATTGCCAAGGAAATAAATGAGCTATTGATCATGTGATGGTCTCCTATAATGACTTTATTTCTGTGAGGCCAGTTGATGCCAGTTTTCCCTGAGAGATATAAGTGAAGCAGCTTGACTGACTGACTCTAATATTATTGGCTCATTAACAGGGCTTTGACTTGCAGGAGTCTGGTTAGTTGAAACTGAAGGGGAAAAAAGTGATTTGAACTCTGAGTGGCACGTATGTTAAATGTATTTTTTTCTGTGTTTTTATGGGGTTTTTAAGAAGTCTTTTTCTTTCTTTTCTTTTTTTTTTTGAGAGAGAGTTGGTGGGGGGCGGAGAGAGAATATCTCAAACAGGCTCCACATCCAGCATGGAACCAGACATGGGGCTGTATCTCACAACTCTGATTGTGAGATCATGACCTGAGCCAAAATCAAGAGTCAGACGCTTAACCAACTAAACCACCCAGGCGCCCCAAGAAGTCTTTTTAAAGTAATTGTTTTACTTGGTAGTCATATTTGATTCCTATTTGAGTAGCATCATGGAATAAATTGGGTTCTTCTGGTTAAAAGTTTTTTAAGGTATTTTATTTTCTCAAAAAAAAAACAGTATAAAATCAAGTAAGGTGACAATTTTAATGATGTTATAAAGAAGTTTTGCTTACGGGGGCACCTGGGTTAACGACGCTCAGTCGTTAAGGGTCTGCCTTCAGCTCAGGTCATGATCCCGAGGTCCTGGGATCGAGCCCCGCATCTGGCGCCCTGCTCCACAGGAAGGCTGCTTCTCCCTCTCCTACTCCCCCTGCTTGTGTTCCCTCTCTCGCTGTGTCTATCTCTGTCAAATAAATAAATAAAATGTTTAAAAAAAAAAAAAGTTTTGCTTACATTGTTAGTAATACTATCAGTTATATTTTCTTAAGCTATGTTTGTTACAGCAATATTTTTTAAATGAAATTAATTGAAGATAAATTTCAATGGATTGAATCTGATTGCTAACCCTTATCTAATGTTAGGACCACCACATTTTCTTTTCTAAAGTAAAGCACTAGATTATGACTTCCGAAGTAACCTGCAATTTTAGTTGGAGATTATAATCATGCATTGAGTCAATTTCACATTAATATTTAGACCTAGTCATTCACCCATTGATAAGAAAACTAAGTCTTCAAAAAGTAAGTTACTTGAGAACCCGGTGATACTGAGTCTTCTTTTAGACAAAGGATCCTTATTATAATACATGTTAAAGTGGCTTCCAGTGAATTTTATTAAAGGTGCAATATTATATTCAGAGATAATAGGTCTTTCGGACTACATTTCTTCCAAAGAAATAGTATTGAAGGAAATGAACAAAATATTTGTTGTAATAAAAGGAAAACAAAAGGGTGATTATTAACATAGAGGTAATGGAGAAAAGACCCATTTGAATCAATGTAGTCAGAATTGTAGCCCTTTTTTGGCTTAATGCTAATTCCTATTAGGTGCATATTTCTTACAATCAAATGCAAAGATCTGAAACCTGAGTAACATATAGGACCCTTTTAGTGATTCTCTAGAGTTTATTTAAAATATATATTTGAATCACCACTTTGTTTTTTTAAATGTGTGTCCATATAGGTTTTATTCATTCAGAATGCTGAAGGAGATCTGGAAAATACAAACCCACATTAAATGAGAGACTGTGTCCATTTAGTTAATTACTCACAGTGTACATTTTACTGATGGCTACAGCATTGGTTCTTCAGATTCAACGCACCTTCACCACTTTTACTGCCCTGTGCCTGGCATTGATTCAGGTCTTCCATTCCTATTTTCTGTTCAAAAGAATATATTGCCTAACTGTGAGTCATTTGACTTTACATAAATGTATATTAAATCTGTCTGAACAATTAAAATAGTACCACCTGCTGCTACAACACTCATAAACAAAAATGAGAACTGGATACTGGAATTGTGTAGTACTAGAATTCTGTTCTTGGCTATACTTAGTTGAGCATTCAGGCTCCAGAACCAGATTGCTGGAGTTTGAAACCTGTTTCTACCATTTCCTAGGTGTGTCACTTTGGGCAAATTACCTTTAACGTCTCTGTTTCTGTGTATCTCATATACCATCTTATAGGGTTATTATGTGAGAATGAAATGACCTAATGCATGTAAAACACTTAAAAATGGGCCTAGCACATAGTAAGTACTTGTATTAGAAGCTGTATGTATACATCATCTTATAAGTAGTAAATCCAGTTGAATCACAATGTGTGTTCTCAGGTTAAAATGAAAAAGTTTAAATTTGTTAATAGGGAACTTGCAAATGCCTAAAATTATAGACTGTACAGACTGTATAAACCAGGGGTCAGCAAACTATGGCCAGCCATCACTTCGTTTTGTAAATAAAATTTTATTAGAACATAGCCATACCCATTCATTTATGTCTTGCCTAGGGCTATTTTCCCCTTACAGTGGCTGAAGTTGAATGGTTATGACAGAGACCTAATGGACTGCAAAGCCTAAAGTGTTTACTATTTGTCCCTTTACAGAAAAGTGCCTACACCTGCTGTAGACTTGGAAATTATATAGACCTCTGTAGTTGAGAATATTTTGATCCCTAGGTGCTTCTAGAACTCAGAAATGATTGTTCATGATCTTTAGACGAAAGATACGTATTTGAATTACCTATAATGTTTAAAAATTAAAAACAGTTTTGGGCACCCCATCACCAACTGATTTAGAATTTTTGGGAGTTGGGTTTAGAAAGGTCAGTATAATTTACAAAAGTTCCTAAAGAATGCTTTTTATCCTAACTGACAAGTAGATACTTTTTTCACCGGTAATATACATAGTTCACAGGTTTTTGTTTGTTTGTTTGTTTGGTTTTTTAAAGATTTTATTTATTTATTTGACACAGAGAGAGAGAGCGAGCGAGAAAGGGAACACAAGCAGGGGGAGTGGGAGAGGGAGAAGCAGGCTTCCCGTGGAACAGGGAGCCTGATGCAGGGCTCGATCCCAGGACCCTGGGATCCTGACCTGAACCGAAGGCAGCCGCTTAACTACTGAGCCACCCAGGCACCCCTCTTTTTACAAAAAAAAAAAAAAAAAAAGCCAAGAGATTGTCTCAGAATGAATTATAAGAAAAATGGTGGGCCTTTTTAGACCAGCGAGGCTCCAGTTTGAGTAAGAACATAGTTTCTGCTTGACTGAGTTACGAGATTAGTGTGGCCTAAATATATGTCTAGTATCTGGTTAAACTCTTTTTTTACATATATTACAACAAATTTTGAAAGTACCTGCCAATCTTTACATCTCCGTCACATATCATGGTAGTGACTGGGTAGAGCATGTGGTGAGTAGAGAATTGTACAGCTTACTCCTTCATTTAGAAATTGTTGGCGGGGAAGAGGTGGTTGGAAGAAGGATTGAGAAAGTACTGTATCTGTTCTAGGAAGACTAGGGAAAGGGCAGGAGTAGACTAATGAACAATGATTTAGCAAAAATAACTTCCATAATTACACAGTAAAAATATGAAATTACTGGGATATTTCATTGCTGATATTATGCTTACTGTATCTTGAAGTAATTCCTATGTTTAATGAAAGAACTTATACAAGAAAATGGAGCTTAAAAATGAGTCAGAATATTTAAAACTGATATCTTGGATAGAAAAATCACTTTTAAACATTTCTTTATAATAACTTAATTTTAGACTTAGAGTGAATTGTCTGCTACTGTAATAAACTAGGTTAATACGTTAATACTGTTTTCTTTAATTTTTCTTTCTTTCTTTAAAAATGTAGGCATTTCAGTCGAACCATGGAAGAACTGGTTCATGATCTTGTCTCTGCATTGGAGGAGAGCTCAGAGCAAGCTCGAGGTGGATTTGCTGAAACTGGCGATCATTCTCGAAGCATGTCTTGTCCTCTGAAACGCCAGGCAAGGAAACGGAGAGGGAGAAAACGAAGGTCGTATAATGTTCATCACCCATGGGAGCCTGGCCACTGCTTAAGTGAAGGCACTGATTCTAGTTTAGAAGAACCAAGCAAGGACTACAGAGAGAATCACAATAATAATAAAAAAGATCATAGTGACTCTGATGACCAAATGTTAGTGGCAAAGCGCAGGCCATCATCAAACTTAAATAATAATGTACGAGGAAAAAGACCTCTATGGCACGAATCGGATTTTACTGTGGACAACCTTGGGAACAGAACTCTGCGCAGAAGGAGAAAGGTAAAACGCATGGCAGTGGACCTCCCACAGGACATCTCTAACAAACGGACAATGACCCAGCCCCTTGAAGGTTGTAGAGATCAGGACATGGACAATGACAGAGCTTACCAATATCAAGAGTTTACCAAGAACAAAGTCAAAAAAAGGAAATTGAAAATAATTAGACAAGGGCCAAAAATCCAAGATGAAGGAGTAGTTTTAGAAAGTGAGGAAATAAGCCAGACCAATAAGGACAAAATGGACTATGAAGAGCAAAAAGTTTCAGATGAACTCATGAGTGAAAGGTGACTTTTATATTCTCTAAGTATAAAAATATGTGTCTCCATTGTTTGTGCTTGAATGTGTTTTGTATTTTAATTCTATTTTTAAATTATTATAATAATATAAAATATAATAATAGTGATATTACTGTTTAACCATGGTTATATTTCCTTATAATTTACGATGGTTAGTACAAAACAAAATTGCTTATTTGATTTACATGAAGTCTTTGGTTGTGTTATAAAGACTTAATTTTCAGCTATAAAGAGAAAAGGAAATGGTTTTTCAATGGGAATGAATGTGCTTTTGAATAACAGCACATTTGTAACTCTTAGAATTGGATTTATAATTATTTATTTGTTTAATTATAGAGCTTTAGCCTTTGGTGCTTTTTAGTGTCACAATTCATCAGTTTATTTTGATTCTTGAGAATCAAAAGATGATATCACTTCAATGTGTATGGCTTGATATTTTAAGAAGTCTGTAGATTGCTGGGAATTCTGATCATTTATGAATTGTAAAACCTAATTCTTGTCATTAGACAAATAAGAAAAGCAATGATCCTTGGGCAGCTAGTCTAATCTATTTATTCTAGAAAGCAGGTATACCACAATAATCATTAAGTACTATTTTGACAGCGTCAAAAGGTAAGTGATCATTTTTCTTTTACACAGAACTAATGCTACTGCAGGAAATGAGAAAGTATTGACACTGTTCATCCCTTTAGGCATCTTCTTAAAACCAAACACAGAACTATGATCCAGAAAAAAAAAAAATTCCTTACTGGGAAAGAATATTTTATTTTAATTTGTAAGATTGGCATCATTTTAATCATGTAGATTGTGAACTATGGATTTAATATATATATTTAATAATCATATATATATATATTTGCTTATAAATATGATTACAAACATGAATCAGACCTGGTAAAAGTTTATAGGATGGGCCGTTTATTGGAGATGGTTTGCTATTTATGTAATTTTTCTGAAGAAGTAAAAATTGCTCCAAAAAAAAAAAAAAGTTTAAGGAAGGCTTTGAAAAGTTTATGGTATCTGCTTTTCTTCCAAAAAAGTGTACATTTTTATACTAGAATGAAAATTATTTCTATGGTAGTGTTGGGCCATTGTAACTGAGGACCACTTAGCCTGACTTGTAAGTGATTAATTTGCTCAGCTGCTGGGAGGGAGGGTGTGTGGCAGTGGAGATAAGTGTCCATTTCTGGATTATTTACAGATTACTTGCTTTTAGGATTGATCCTCCAAGCCCTTCTTTTATTGATGTCTGCCTTTTATCGACAGATACCTACCCTGGAAGAAAAATGAGATGAAACTCTTCATTTTTCTTCATTGTAAAAAATATTTGAGTATCTATTAGGTATGATCAGGCTACCCAGCAGTCAACAGCCCAGGTACAAATTTTCGAAGAGGATGTTTTCACTCCAGAATAACTTTTTTAAATACTTTTTATTTTATTCGTCTTTTTTTTTTTAGGTTTATTTATTTTAGAGAGAGCACACTGGGGGGCGGGGGTATGACAGAGGAGAGGGAGAATCTCAAGCCAGCTCTGTGCTGAGCGTAGAGCCTGACTCAGGGGCTCAGTCTCACAACCCCAAGGTCATGACCTGAACCGAAACCAGGAGTCGCACACTTAAGACTGCACCACCCAGGTGACCTTTCTTTTATTTTAAACTTAGCTATGTAACTATTTTTATTGTCACCTAAGAGTTAGATGCATATTCCTTCTGTGGGAAGATTACTAAATAAGACAGATCCTGTTGCCTACAGCCCCATAGTTTGGAATAGCAGATAAGCAAACAATGAAAATGAAGTGTGCTGAGTACAAAATACTGGTGAAGGAGGACTTCCTGAAGGAGCTGAGGTTTAAGCAAGCACTGAGTGTTGTTCAGATATTGGATAGGGAGGGAAATGGCAATCCTGGATGGAGGGAACAGCTTGTGCAAATGCTTGGATCGTGAAGCAAAGTGACGTATCTGGGAAAGTACATGTAATTGATTATTTCTAGAACAAAGTGGTGGTTGAGGCCACAGCAGTAAGCTTGTCATGAAGGTCTTGTGTGCTATGGCAGTTTGGATTTCATCATGTAAGTAATGGGAAGCCAGTGAAGAATTTTTAATTATGAAGAAACTCAATTAGATTTACATGTTCTCAAGGAACATGATCTCAGTAACTGTTTTATTTAGCTTTCACTGACCTCGAATCCATCCTTAGGTGAGGGGTAAATTATGGCAGTGATAGTAGAGGGAAAAGAAATAGAGCAATTTTAAGAGTTGGAATCAATGGAAGGTTGACTGTATTTGGGAGGATGAATGAGAAAGAAGATTCTCAGATGATGTGTTGGTTTCAAGAATAAAAAATACAGGAAATGAACAGATTGGGGGAGAGGATTGGGATTGCTGTACAAACATTAATTTGACAACCATTTGTGGAGTATATCGTGCTAAAAAAAAATGGGAAGAGGTGTCCTTGGAGATAAGCCATAATGGCTGTCAGATGCTGAAAATGAAAAACCTTGCTTTATTAGAAGTTCTTGTTCTGATTTATTGAACATGCTAACAACTACATGATATACTTGGAGCAACTAGCTGGATGTCAATGAGGTGAAATATAAATAAGGAAACATATTGTTTAAAACACGTGTAAAAAGATCCCAAAAGAAGACAAGGATTGTTAGGGACTAAGCTGCTCTTAGAGGAGGGGGGTTCTGATTTCCTTCTGTCTTTAAGAAAAGTAAATAAGATAAAGACAGGGAGGCAAACCATAAGAGACTCTTAAATATAGGAAACAAACAGGGTGGCTGGAGAGGAAGTAGGGTGGGGGATAATTGGGTGATGGGCATTAAGGAGGGCACTCAGTATAATGAGCACTGGGTGTTATATGCAGCTGATGAATCACTAAATTCTAACCCTAAAGCTAAAAATACACTATATGTTAAGTAACTTGAATTTAAATAAAATCTTAAGAAAAAAAAAAAAGAGAAGAGAGAGAAGATTGGGATATGAGTTGGAAAAAGAACATAAATAAAAGGACCAGAGATGGAGATGGGAAGAATTTAGGTAGGGCTCATCCCTACAGAGTCTTGAAATCCACATTTAATCCAACAAGTATGGGGAAGTAATTTTAGATTTTTAATAGAAAACATTTTATTTTATTTAATTTATATATATATGCATAGATACATGCATGTTTTATAAACTTTTCCTTTTAGAATACTTTTGGATTTATAGAAAAGTTGCAAAGATAGTGCAGAGATTTTCTGTATATCCTGTACCCAGTTTCCCCTGCTGTTAATGTCGTACATTACTCTGATACACTTGTCAGAATTAATAAGCCAGTGTTGATGCATTATTAACAAAAGTCAGTACTTTATTAGAATTTCCTTGTTTTTCTTTAATGTCCTTTTTCTGTTCCAGGATCCCATCCAAGATGTCATAATATTTTTAGTCAGCAAGTTATATTTGTAAACAATGAGCCTGGTTGTATGTAGAATATTAAAAGAGGTAAATCTGAACTCAGAAATTAGAAAACCATTGTACCCCCCCCAGAAAAAGAGCATAGTTTCACATTTCACAGTCCTTTATCTATAAATCTGAAGTCTGAAAGCTGTGAAAAACTAACTCATTTGTGGCCAGACCTAGCTTGACCTGGATTTAATGTGGATATTCATTCATTTATTTGAAAAAATATATTAATAGGTTTGATTCTGGAGTTCTACCCCAAACCCCTATTAGGCATTTTAGAGCATATCTTTCCAAAATTTGAAAAATTGTGAATTTTAAATACATGTTACCTCAAGGATTTCAGAAAAAGAATTGTGACTCAAGGTATGTAGGATAAGGCCCTGTATTAGGGTGTGTTGATACAGGCAAACAAGAAAGCACTTCGCAATCACAGAAGAGGAAAAAAATAAAAATCAACAGTAGTTTGGACAGCTAAATAGCAAAATGATGAAGTTTCTGAAGTGTTTTTAATAGTCAGACATCACTGTGCATAGGAGAGCATGTGCATTTGTAAATAAGAAATTATGGATGTGATTGTCTAAGAAAGTATTCTTTGATTAACACTTGTGCAGTATAGGGAGCTTTATATATTCTCCTAACATGAAGAAAGTTAAAGAAAAATGTACTAACTTAGAGTTCCTAGGGAAAATGTACCATTTAATAAATCCTTATACTTTTTTATTTTTTAAAAATCAAATAATTGAAATGATATTCCATATTCAGAAAACATAGGGATTTAGTATGTACTATGGTGAGCACTGAATTGTGTAAGACTGATGAATCACAGACCTGTGCCCCTGAAACAAATAATATATGTGAATAAAAAATTTAAAAAAAAAGGAAACATAGGGATTTAGATCTCATCTATAATTTTAATCCTAAACTCTCAATTTAAATATTTTTAAAATGGATTAATTTTTTTAAGATTTTATTTATTTATTTATTTGATAGAGACAGCAAGAAAGGGAATATAAGCAGGAGGAGTGGGAGAGGGAGAAGCAGGCCTCCCGCGAAGCAGAGTGCCTGATACAGGGTTCAATCCCAGGATCCTGGGATCATGACCTGAGCTGAAAGCAGACCCTTGACGACTGAGCCACCCAGGCTCCCCACGGATTAATTTTTTTAAACAGATTAGTTTTGTTTAGTAAGTCAGCTTACAGGGTTGTACATGTTAACCAGAAAAGTATTATAAAATTCTCCAAGGGCAACTTCCTGATTGGTTAAAATTAAGAATTACAGGAAAAGAGAGTATATGAGAATTTTTAAAGAACGTTATCAATTTTCTTTAGAGGCCAAGCCTTTACTACATGATCTGCCTTTTTGTGTTTTTTTAACTAGATTTTCATATAAGCATGGCTTCTATTATAACTAATAGTGACAGTTCATGTCAGTCGAATATCTCCTCTATTTGTTTTAATTTGTATGTGAAATAGGACTGTATCACACTCGAACTTCTATGGAAGTAGGAGAACCTGTTATTTTTACATATACTCTCCTTAATTATATTGGCAATATTCCATATTTTGCTCAGTTTTTGCTCAGAGAGATTTTAACTTTGATTTAATGGATTGTTACCATTGTAAACTTTTTTCTTCCTTGCCAGGTAATAGAGTTGTTGTGCATTCTTAAGTAATGTCTTTTCTGGAATATTTGCAAATGTGGTCATGAAAAGTAATTTCATCTCAGGCCCTTGTATTTCATATGCTGAAGAAAGGCTTAGCCTGCTTTTGATTGAGACTTTCCCCATTTTATTGAGCAGTGGTGTTCCGGGCTCAGGCTGAATAGCATGGCGTAAGAAAGGAGCAGTAAGCATTTGATGAAAGCAGATAATAAAATACATCAATTGTGTCAGCACCTCGTTGCAGTCACATCTGGCTTACTGTCCGGGTCCCATTAGATTCCTGTGGTTTTATGTGCCAAAAATAATATGCTCTGTAGTTAATGGAACCAGAATATTTGCAGTTTGATTAAAAAAAAAATCATCTTTTCTTTCAGATCTTTGTCAGGCTTAAGTTTCATCTCTGAGCTGCCATGTCTCTTTAAAATTTTACGACTGAGAGATCAATTGTTCTTTTGATCTGTTTTTTTGTTGTTTTTTTTTTTTCCTTTTCCCTTATTACAGTGATTCCAGCAGTCTCAGCAGCACTGATGCTGGCTTATTTACCAATGATGAGGGAAGACAAGGTACTGAAATGCTATTTTTTTATTCCTTTGGAAAAACGTCTTCATTTTAAAGTTGTGCTTATTACTAGTTATTTCTTACGTTGATGATGGCAACCCATTTAACTTAAACACACCTACTTAGTGGACTGGGGTTTAGTTCTTTTTTATACTATGAACAGTATCCTGTCTTCATGACCTAAAGTAATTGATTATCTTCAAAAGCTAGCATGTGGAGCTAATAATATTAAGGGAGGATTATCTTCCTTAAGAAAGCTTTACATACCTCGGTCTTTTCAATTTTGTCTCTTAGCGAGTTCACAAGACACTGGTTCTCATTCTCCACCTGATTCCAAATGTATTTAATACTGTTTAAGCATTAATAAAGGTGGATTTGCAAGTCATTTGTCATTTTTATTCAGCCGTGACATTTATTCATCCTCCCTAGTTTCTAAGTAATTAGACAGTTTTAATGAATTCAATATTGTAAACTGTTAAAACAGTCATGTCTTACAACTTAGGTCTTTTACATCTTTGAAGTTCCCTGAAGCTTTTCACACTTTCACATGGCATTATTTTAAAACCACCTATTTGGGAAGAAAATAGGAAAAACCTTAATAAGAGGGCAGGAAGCATACCTGCAAATGTTATCTGCCGTTCTTGAGAATCTTTAGAGGAAAGCAGTAAGTTCTAAGGGGTAAAAAAAGACCCAAAACTTACTGTTTTAAATTATAAATAGTCTAATGATAGGAAAAAAGAAAATAATAGCTACCTAGGCATTTTTTTCTTAGTCTGTTCATTCCTTTTGGTAGGAATAAAATAAATTGATCATTCATTTTGGCTTACTTACAAACCCATATATATTCCAGATAAATAGGTACATACTGTTTTAAAGACCATAGACTTTTTAAAGTTAAGAGACTTTGCTGAAATATGCTAGAACCTCGGGGCTCAGAGTGAGTTTGACTACCTTGATAATATACCTAAATTCTCGTTTAAATACATGTGTCTACTCAGTTATTATAAGTGTTGCATTTGGTAATGAAAGGAAATGAAAAAACTTTTTTTTTTAAGATTTTATTTATTTATTTGACAGAGAGAAACACAGCGAGAGAGGGAACACAAGCAGGGGGAGTTGGAGAGGGAGAAGCAGACTTCCCTTGGAGCAGGGAGCCCGATGTGGGGCTCGATCCCAGGACCCTGAGATCATGACCTGAGCTGAAGGCAGTTGCTTAATGACTGAACCACCCAGGCGCCCCAAAAAAAAACTTAAAAAAAAAATAACTTTTGGACAAGTCTGTCCATCTTTGAAAAGCTTTGAATGGTTTAAAATAATATGCTAGCATTTGTTATGAGCTTATTATATTTTACATTTCTAAGTGCTTTTTTCATTCAGTTTACTTTAGGTTTTTATATTATTCTTAAGAAAACCCTGGGAGATTCTTTTTTGGGAGGTATGATGAAACCTAGGCTCATAGAGTTGAGATACCTTACCCAGTGTCACATAACACTACAATTCTAATTGGTCTGACTTCAGAGCTCAAATTCTTAATCTTTAGCTATTTGATTTCCCTGCTAAGAACAAGGTTGTGTATCACATCAAAAATAAAATAACCTCATTTTTGTATAATAACATTGTTTCAGTTGGAATCAAGATGGAAGGTAATTAGTTTCAAGTGACTCCCTTTCTTATACCTATACCTGTTATAGGAAATGTTAATACAATTCTCAGTAAAAGTACTAATATTTATGTGCTTTGAAATGTGCGTTTGTTTAAATTAATTTTTATTAAATCCTCAATTGAAATAAACTGGTGGCGTTGCTTTTGCAAATGCTTTAAATTTTTCACTCGCTCGTAATTTGAAGTATGGCTGTTCCTCGTAAAGTCATTTTCCGTTGAAGCTTTTGTTTTTGTCCTAGTTTGCTTTTAAAAAATACTTGTACTAAGAGATTTTGGAAATCAGAAATCTCTTTCTGTAAAGGGGAAAACTTTATGGCAGTTGTGATGACCCTCTTAAAAACCAGAATTAGTAGTTTTTCTAAGATGAATCATGAAGACTTTAGTCAATCTAGGATCATGTTCAAAAAACTATTTGTTACCTATTTTTAAAAGCCATCTGCCTTCTTCTGTATTTTTTCCCCTTATTCCTGTTTTAAAAACAAAATACTGTTGATTCACATTTTCTTTTAAAAACAAAATACTGTTGATTCACCAGTACATTTTAAACTGAATTTTAAATGGATCATTTCTCCATGGTTAACACTCGTGGGTGTTCCCAAAAGTCCACCTTACTATGGATAGTGTTCTGTCTTAAAAATACCTTGCTTCTCATAGTCCAGTAATAGTTTCTTTGTTAACTCTGTGGTATTGTCACTTTTCATTTAAAATCTACTTTTTCACAACTATTTCTTAATGAACTTAATCAGATTAATTTCATTTAGTCACATCTGTTCTTGATCATTTCCCCTTTTACACTTCATACAAATCATGAAATTAAGCTAATTGTATACCATTATTAGCTGCAGAGAACAGGTTCTACAGTTTTATACTTCAAATTCACTGTAGGAGATTAAGGCTTGTTTTTCTTTAATTTGGAAAGGGTAGTAACTTAAATGGATTTCTCTACAGTTTTTGCCCTAGAATTAACCAGTATTATTGTTTTTCACATTTTTTAATTGATTCTAAAACATAGCAGCTTATGTTGGCAGTTCTTGTTGTAGTGTTAAAAAATATTTTAATGAAGCTGTGGTGTAGAATGAGAAGTTTTCTGTACTGATTATGTAAATGATTACCAGGTAAAATACAGGATCCCTTGTTAAATTTGATTTTTAGGTATATAACAAATAATTTTTTAATATAAGTGTGTCCCGTGCAGTATTTAGACATACTAAAAATTTTGTGCAGTTACTGTATATTTATATGAAAAATCCTTTCTCTGGAATTCAGATTTAATTGCTATCTTGCATTCTTTAAATCAAAATCTGATAACTCTATATTTGGATAATAAAACTGAGTCTTTGGGGGATTTCTTGTATTTGCACAGGTGATGATGAGCAGAGTGACTGGTTTTATGAGAAGGAATCAGGTGGAGCTTGCGGCATCACTGGAGTTGTACCCTGGTGGGACAAGGAAGACCCTACCGAGCTAGACAAAAATTTACCAGATCCTGTCTTTGAAAGTATCTTAACTGGTTCTTTCCCTCTTATGTCACATCCGGGAAGAAGAGGTCAGTAACACTTGCTGACTGCTGAATATGATGGGCTTATAGTGAATCTAGGAATATCCATTAAAAGAGGATAGGCTAAAATGGAAATGAAAGTGTCTAAACACAGATGCTATAAAGACACATGTCAACCAGTAATTCAGCTACTACATTAATCACGCATTCTAATTATTAGAAAGATTGACTTGCCTCCTTGCTAGGACCAGTGTGAAAATGTTGAAATGTTAGAAAGGTAAATTAGGAGGAAAGAAAAGCCCTGAATAATACCATAAATCTTAAATAATCAGTGGTTGTGTGCTAAGCTCATTAGAACCCTACTAGGCATTGCTTCAGATCTTTTAAGTGTGTTTTGCATTTTCCCCACTACTATATAAGACGTTTCCTACCTCCGACTTATTTTGAATTCTGTATTGATAGGAACAATGATCACAGAATCTCCTAAATTGAGGACTTTGATTTTCCAGGTTTCCAAGCTAGACTCAGTCGCCTTCATGGAATGCCTTCCAAGAACTTTAAAAAATCAGGAGGGACCGCAACTTCAATGGTAGGCATGCTTTTTTGTTTAATTGTCATGTTTGGAAATGTATCCATTTCTATGGAATAAAAAGCCACATCCTCATCCTTTATTCATATTCTAATGTTATACTTAAAAATAATCCATTTTTTTGTAGGCTACAAACTGGACCAGTGAGATTCCCCTATAAACCAAATCTTCTAATGCTAATAAATTAGTTACGTTTTGAACATCTGGGGAATGACATTCGAGGGAACCTGGCTCCTGTCCTCTTCCCCTGGAGGAATATCACTGAAGTGAGAGCCTCTTTGATGAAAAGATGGGGCTGTTTTTGCTGTGGAGGACTGGTATTCTTCCTTTAGTCAGAAGTGAACCTGGTTGGGGAGGCTTTCTAGGGATCTAGGCTGGCCCAGGGTGGGTGGAACTACTGTAAATTTTATATATTTTTCTCTTTTATGATTTTTTTTTTACATTGAATCCATTTATGTATTACTTGCTTTGCCAAAATACTAACAAAACCTAGAAAATGGAAAACTTCCAGATCTCACATAAGTATTCCTTAATGTTTATATTGTGACTGGTTAAGAACTAATTTTTACATCTCTGACTGTTGTAAATAAACATGATGCATTGACATTTATGGCTCATTTTTAGAGAAGTCTTACATAACCAGCATTATTTAAAATATCTGCATTTTACTCAGGGTATTTTAACAAGGGCTAAGATGAGTAGTAGGTAAGGTTGATAATCTTTACTAGAATTTCTGTTTTGTTCAGTTTGCTTTCTACTTGGAAAATCTGCTCTGTATTGCAAACCCATTGTATTTTATAGTGTAGTGTTCATTGTACTACAAAAGAGAATCATCCTAGTTTTAAAGCTAACTACAGTGATAACTAGTCTGTGCTAGTAGAATCATTTATTATTACTTTTTAAATTATCTGCTCTGTCTGATACCTGCAACCACTCAAAATTATCATTTTGGCTTAGAGCTTCTGGAAATCATGTGAAAGCTGGTATTTCAACTAATACTGTATGCCTCTGAATCATATTGTCATGTTTAAAAGTGAGAGCTGCTTGCACACCCTTGGCAGACCATATGTGTCACTGTGAGTGTCAGAAATACTTGCATGAGCTCATTTTCACAAGCAGAGGGGAAAATGTAACATTTCTATTGATGGTATAATTTATAGACACTCTACAACATTCAGGCCATTTGAATTCTTCAAAATGGTATGTTACAATGATGAGTATTTTTTATTACGTTCCCATAATGGATGAAAACTGTGATTTAATACATGTATTTTTATATTGTTGTATGGATTAATTGTTAATTCAGCATTTAATGGATAACTTAAATATGGTGATTGGGAAAGAAACTTAAAGTTGACATTTCTTTTACCTAAAGGTATTACAATCTGAAAGATTTCAGAAAATGTGTTAAGCAGAAAGCGTGTGACATCTTTTAGATTGCTTGTCTAAACTGGAGAGATTAAATATGATAAAGTGCAACTTTGAGTATCTTTACCTTTGCATATTTAAAGTGATATTTTAGAGGTACAATAATGTGGTGTTTGGTCATTGTAAGTAAGCTTTTTTTGTGCTGTGTCCTTTAGAGTAAAAATTCGTGATTTTTTTTCTGAATTACATAAATGCTTTTATTTTATTTTGTATAATGACTGCCTTTTAGATCTGAATAAGTCACTTTAAAACCTTGGCCTATGAACTTTGCCTTACCAATCATGAATCTAGATGAATGCTATCTAGTTCTTGGTTCAGTTTTACCTATTTTTATTTTTGGTTCACTGCTTGCTTGAGCATAGATGGGATTTGTAGCCCATTTTCTAGGCTTATTGCAATCTCACTGTGGTATTTTATAGAAGCTATTACATCTGATAGGCCAGCTTCATGGTATTGATGATACATGGCTTAACCATAGTAAAAGCTGCCTTCCCTCTCTAAATTGTAAAAAGGTGATTAAGTTTCACTTGATGGAGAAATACTATATGTGTGTGTTTATCATCGAACTAGTGCATTAGGCCATAAACTGTTTTCCTGGTCTACATTTTTTTGTATTCAAATTTTACTGAAGACAATGGGCTCCTTCGGCTTTCTTTCTTTCAATCCTGAATTGTCCTTGTTTGGATTTTTAAGTACTGTAATTTTTTTTTTTCAATAAAATATCTGACTTGGACAAGAAAGGTAAGAGTTCCAATTTGTGCTGATATTTTTAAATTCCTCTGCTAAGTTTTGTTGTTGCTGTTGTTGCTCATGGTGTCCATATCATATGTAACAGTCTAGTCTTAAAAATCATAATCTCACAAAACAGTCATATTTAAACAGTACCCATGACATCCAGAAATAAGAATTCAATTTAATTCCTCAGACTTTCACACTGGAAAGCCAGATTGCTTTGAAGAGAGATTAATTTTCTGAGCAAAGTCAGACACATGTAGCTACAGCCCATGAAACAGAATGGCAACGAAAGGTTTCTTTCTCTTACGCAGATGAGTAGTGACTGCACAGATATAGTCATGACCTTTGAAGGAAATGACTGAACAATTTTTCACTGAAATATTAATGGAAACATTCTTGGGAGTGAAGTTTTCAATTGGATTTTTCATTATTCACCATAGTTATGTTCTCTAAAGTCACCCTGAACACTAATTAGCAAATACTGAACAATTGCTCCTAAGGGAAATACCAGGTTAGGTTCCTATGAGCCTCCGGTCATGACATTTTTATCAGTCGATCAATACATAACCTTGTTTTACGTATCTTTGTGTCTAAAAACACCTTACTTAATATATATAGTTGATTCATTAACATTAAACTCATGACCAACAGCACTATAACCCATGCCTGAACTACGCTGATCTAACGCAAGTATTTCTCCTCAAGGCACATCATGGCCTTCTTATGCTTAGGAACCCATGTCAGCGCTTCAGCCCTGTGCTTGGGGTTCATTTAAAACAATGAATTGCAAAAAACACAAAACTGAAAAATGTGGCATCAAATAAACCACAAAAACAACACTTGTTTACAGAGTTAGAGCTGAAACAGGAATGGGTACTGTTGTCTTTTTTGACCTCAGTGGGGAATGCACACATGCACCAGGGGACAAATTTTTCAATGCTCCTGAATGACCCTAGAAGTGCTACAAGGACTGACTTGAGAGTGGGGCATCTGGCTGGCTCAGATGGTGGAGCGTGTGACTCTTAATCTTGGGGGTGTAAGTTCGAGCCCCACGTTGGGTACAGAGGTGACTTAAAAATAAAATTTAAAAAAGAATTGATTTGGGGGTTACAGATACATGTTAGTGAGTAGGCAAATTTGTACATGTGGAACTCTCAAATAGTAATGAGGATTGACTCTATTTAGTTTTGTCAAGGGCAAAGTGGTATTACAGATAAGTTGGAGGTTTTGGAGTCTGAACTTGGTGAATCCCCACTCTGGTTCTTCTTTTTACTTTTAAAAACAAATTGAACCTCATCTTCTCTTTCTGTTAAATAGAGACAATATTTAATTTGCAGAAGTGTTGTCAGGATTAAATGAGGTTATTTGTACATCATAGGTCCAGAACCATTTTTGTCGCATAATATATATTTAATAAATGATAGTTACTGTTATTATTATTAGATATACTAAATACAGAGTGTCCTGATTTAGAGAACATTTGTATTATGGGTCAAAATGCAAAATATTATAAACTTTTCATACTTTATATATGATATGCCTTTATATTTAATATTTAAAGTGCTTTATATTGCAACCTTTTATAAAGTTTCTTTTATATTTCATATATATTTGAGCCAGTCTTTGTCTTTAATAGTCTGTGAAGAATAATTTCAGGTGAATTTTAGATGGACAGCCACTGCATTAAATCTCAAACCCTAATTGCAGATTAAAAAGCTGTTCTAAATAACTCTCCCTAACTAACCCTCAATCATTAGGCCATTCATTTGCAGAAGGACTTATACTGTTTAGGAGGTTTTGGACCAGAGTTACCTGATTTTTAAAAATAATTTTGCCTATATACATGACAGGCGAATGTAGTAACAGTTCTGAGAATTTAATGTTGAAAGAAATAACTATTGCTGTACTTCTGTTAGAATAAAGCACTGATTTATTGGAGCGCAGTTAACAAGCCTCTAATATTTACCTCTTTTAGGAGAATTAAGCAAATGAAAATTAATTCTGAGGAATATTCTGAGACCATTATCCAGGAGATGCAGAGTGAATCTCCTGTATTTCCAGAATTTTTGCCCCAAGTACAATTCAGAGTGAATAATCCTCAGAATAATGATCCATCAGAGATACATATTTTGGGATATAGCATTAATAAAGTGAATCCAATTACCCTGACTTAAGCATAGCATTTCAGTTAGCCAAGATATCCTACCCCTAAGCATCTTAATTAATCATTGTTCTCTATAGACAAGAGATTTTTGAAAAAAAAGTTTTTAAACTGATGGTCTTAGAACAGGTGTTGCATTTTTCTAAGTTAGCATTCAAATTGAGTGGTCGTTGAAAGATCGGGAAATAAATGACTCCATTTAAAATATACTACCTAAAATCCAACATTAATATTACATAAGGAATTGTACCTAAAGGTTGTAAGGTTCTGTTTAAAAATCTTATTATCCTATCAGTCCAGTTTTTTTTGTATACATGAAATGAGAACAAGTATAGTGGTGATGGTGGTGGTTATTCTGTCAAAGAAAATGAATCTGATTTAAGGGACTATTTATTTACATGTGTTTCTCAAGTTAAATATCTGAAAAAAATGTGAACATCAACCCTTAATCTAAAATGTCATGCTGTACAAGTAAGCATACTGTTATATCCACCAATGAAATAGCCCTCAAAATAATTTATATCTGTTTAGAATCTTGAGTCATTTCATTGTGTAAGAGAAGGGAATATTGTATATATTTTCCTTCTCTGAAGTATATCATGGAAGACCAGACCAGATTTCATGAGTGGCATATTGATAATGGTAATGGTACTATAATGATTTACTCTGTCTTGCTCAACCTTTGTTTTATTGTTTCTTAGGTTACTAGAGTGGGAATATTTAGTCTGATTTACAGCCTTTTACAACAGAAGGGCCCTTTTAAATGGATTTGATTTAAATAGGGGAACTACATAAACTTTTCTTTTAGACTAGTCTAAGAAATTTTATAATAGAAAACAAATCTAAAATGATTTTTAAAAATACACACGGTGTGTGTCCTCAACTGTAATCTGGCCATGTGCTAATTATCTGATATTTTTCAGTGGAATTCAATAACTAAATGCTTAATTATAATCTCTGAATTGATATTTGTTTTTATCCTTAAAGCATTTTTGGCTACTTTGCAGAATCCAAGAAGAATATATATTTAGAATTTTCTTATATTCTAAATATATATCACATATATTCTCATCTATTACTGTTTGTTAATAATTTAGTTTTTATCTTATCTCAAAGTCAGCTTGAGATCCAGATTTCAGGCTGGAAATTAATACTTTTTTTCTTAGAACTTATTTTGAGATAAAGTAGATTTTATATCCTACAGAAGTACTGCTTAGTAGAATTGTAATAAATATTTCTTCTACAGAAGACATTTTGATAGTGTCTCTTGTTTGATTTAAAATTCTCTATTTTTGGTGTCGTTATTCACCTTACATTTTACATATAAATTTAATACCTATAATTGATATTTGAAAATTTGAATCTAACAGTTTTTGTTCCACTAAAAGTAGTATCAATATTAATATTGATATTTAGTCTTATTGTATTACACTTTATTAAAAGTGGAATATATACATATTTGATAGTATAGATATGTTATATTATTCATTCAACAAGTATTTGAATGCTTATTCTGTTGTCCGTATTTAGCTTTTAAAATCCTTTAGGAAAGAATACATAAACATGTTCAATCTTGGTATTTTAATAATGCCAAATTTGACCACTTACACTTTTTATCTACCTGTTTAAAATATTTGTCCCTGCTTTTCTGATTACTTACCACTAGAATTGGCCTGGTTTCTTATATTGTCGTTTGGGTGTGTGATACTCCAGAAATACTGGAACCTAGCAAAGAGAATGTTAGTAATGACTTACAGTGATGCTTACTATGTAACAGACATTTTTCTAAATTTTAGTTATATATTTTAATTCATTTAGTCCTATTAACGTTTACAACTTAAAACACTTTCAAATTTGTTTTTCCTTTGCTATGTCAAAATTAATGAAATCTGGAAGTTTCTTCACTCTTGTCATGTTGCTGATAAATATAAATAAATTTTCTTCATAAAATAGTCTTCATTCCTGGTTACCAAATGCAATTGGAAGTGTGAGTTATTGTGAAAAATCTGCAGCATTCTTTGCTGTCTTGAAGAATGAGCACAATCAAGTTGTGTGCCATAATAAAAATGAAAATTAAAATGTTTTACTGTTTCCATCAGATTAATCACTGGAACCAAATCCTCCATTCCAGTCCCTTTCTTTGTTTCAGGTAGTATATAGTACCTTGTTCTTGATCTTTAACATCATCCAATTCTGGTCTGCTTTCTTGCTGTGTTTCTGTTTTCTCTGCTTACCCTCCATGGTCCCTCATTATCTCTCCAAGTCTGTACAGTGTACCTAGGAGCTGTCACATGTCTGTTTCAACCATGATGATAGCCTCTGTATTTCTCTTGCACTGCTCTTTTCCTACCCCCCCCTTTTTTTTAAAGATTTTATTCATTCATCTGAGAGAGAATGAGAGAGAGAGCACAAGAGGGGGGAGGGTCAGAGGGAGAAGCAGACTCCCTGCTGAGCAGGGAGCCCAGTGCTGGACTTGATCCCGGGACTCTGGGATCATGACCCGGGCCAAAGGCAGCCGCTTAACCAACTGAGCCACCCGGGTGCCCCTTTCCTACCCCTTTTTAATGGAACTTGGGTAGACTTCATACAGGAGGAAGATTTGTTAGCTGGGACTTCAGGTATGAGTTAGCTTACCAACTCACTGGGGACGGAATTGGCAGACCTGCATGGATGGGCAAGGCTTAAGTTTAAAACCACATGGTATATTCAGGAAACTGAATCCAGTGTTGCTGAAGTATATATAAGGTATGTTGTGTGGAGGAGTATATGGTAGACAGGGTTTGTTTGGTGAGGTAGACTGGAATTAGATCATTTCAGACTCTGGTCCATGGGAATGCATGCAAAC